TGTGTGTGTGTGTGTCGGGGTGTGTGTGTGTGTGTGTGTGTGTGTGACTGGACTGTAAATCTAGGAGCAGACATATTCATCATTTTCCCTCAGAGCACCGGCGGATCTGAATGGCTGATTTGTGGTTAGCAGTTCAACGCCTACCTGAGAGTGTGACCAAGGGAAAGTGTGGGTGGACATTACATGCCCCAGGGCCACACAAGCATCAAGTAAGCCATCTTTATACAGGAACAATGAAATATTTCTCAATACAGGCTCTCTGTGTGAAATAAATTGAGTGAAATAAACCCCCTAAAAATAATATACTGTATATATTTGTGTATAAGCCGAGTTTTTCAGCATGGGTTGGCTTATACTCGAGTACATGTGGTTTATCATGTAGCTACAATGTAAAAGTGCTTCACTAACTACTATGAGATATCCTTTGTCTCTATCAGTGTTTCCCAAAGTAAGTGATACTGCCCCCCAGGGGCCTTGGAATGGTGGTGGTGGTGGGGGGAAGCAGAAGCAAACACCTATACTTCATCCTGGATTATAAATTATAGTACAAACATTTTTAACTGACGGGGGTACTGAGTAATTCTTTTCTGAAAAAGTGGGTGATAGGTCAAGTAAGTTTGGGAACCTATCTAAGATAAAGCAGGGGATCCTAGTAGGAGGTAGTGACCACATTTATCTACGGGGGAGACAACTGGTAATAACAGGGTGCTGACGTGGTAGGTGATTACTGCTTTGTGATTTGTTGAGAGCTGCAGTGGAGTCAGTGATTCCCATCATGGCTGCTGTGCCGGAAGACAGGCTCAAGCCATCATAACACACTGGGCTATCCACTTCACTGTCTTTGGGGTGGGAGGGGGTGGGCAGGAAGGCATGACAGTGAAAGTTTCTCTGTTGACGAGCTTGATTTGTTGTAGGGGCCCAGGTGACGCAGTGGTTATGTGTTGGGCTGCGATCCAGAACGGAGACAGTTTGCAGCCACCAGCACCTCTGAGGAGAAGACTGGGCCTTCCACTCCTGTGAACAGCTACTGTCTGGGAAACGCGCAGGGGGTTGACTGGGCGGCAGTGAGTGAGCTGCCCTGGAGTCGACGCTGACTCACGGAGACCCCGTGCGCATCACAGTACGACTGCACGCCGCAGGCTTTGCAAGGTGGACAGCCCTCAGGGCAGACTGGCAGGCACACTTCTGAGGAGCCTTGGGAGGGTCTGAACCGCCACCATTCGGGGCCAGCGGTCCAGGGATGAGCCATTTTTATTACCCAGGTGTCTCCTGATTTTGGTTTATGGGGCTAAAATTATTTTAATGTGAGCATCAAATTTACTCTGGGATGGAGGTGGCTGTTGAATTTACCAGTGTGATCAGCACTCTCGGGGAATTCACTCATATTTAAGTGAAATATCACCCTGGAGATTCCAGCCTCTGGGGTAACACGGCCTCTTGGGAAAATGGGAGGGGGGTTGCCTCAAAGTTACACCAAGGATATTTCATCAACAAGGCAGATTCCGTTTTAGAAAAATCTGGTAAAGTATAGCTCTCCAGACTGTGCTTTGATGGACATGATAGATATTCCTTATTTTTAATCTTTTTAACTGTGAAACACATAGAGAGAACATGGAATGTTATTTCTACGTTTTCTGAAATATGACGGTAAAGGAATACCCGTATACTCACCACCCAAACCAAACCAAACTCCCTGCCATCGAGCCGATGCTGACTCGCAGAGACCCTACAGTGACCCTACAGGACAGGGTAGAGCTGCCCTGTCACTTTCTGAGACTATAACTCTTTCCAAGAGTAGAAAGCCTCATCTTTCTCCTTTGGAAGGGCTGGTGGTTTTGAACTGCTGACTGTGTGGATTGCAGCCCAATGCCACCAAGGCTCCTAGACTCACCACACAGAAGCGGAAACAGTGCACTCTCTTTGCTTCTGCCAGAACGATTCACTATTTTGAATTTCATATCTTCTCCTTTCGCTGTGATTCTTTCTTGCTCTTGAACCTGTCAACAACATAATACCTAATTCTGCCTGCGTTTGACCTTGATACGAATGGAACATTATGTAGCTGTGTGCTGCAATTAATGCCTTCAACTTTGTATTTACGAGATTCATCCTCAAAGCTTGTTAGACTGTGGGCTGTACCCTGATAGGAGTCACCTAACTGAATGTGGGGTCGAGAAAAATTTGACAACAGTAAATGGTTTCCAAATCACAAAGAATACAAATTACTCTAAAACCAAAATGCACACGGAATACAAGGTGTTTCTGGTAGTGCTTGCCCATATTGCAAATTTCTTGGGCAAATGGGGTTGAGATCGAAAAAAAGTTTAAGAAGCCCGATTGATATGTGTAGCTGTAGGCCATTTATTTTCACTGATGTGTGGTACTCCCATCATTATAATATACCGCAATTTTGTTTTATTCCTTATATTTAGATTGGAGTTTGGGCTTTACTTTAAAGAGCTTCTATCAACAATGCTGCAGTGAGCTTTTAGAAATCCATTTCCTATCACACGTGAAGAGCCCTGGTGGCATAGTGGTTACAAGTTGGGCTGCAGTCCACAAGGTCAGCAGTTCAAAACTCCCAGCCGCTCCAAGGGGGAAAGATGGAGCTTTCTACTCCTATACATAGTCACAGTCTCGGATACTCACAGGGTCAGTTCTTCCCTGTCCTGTAGGGTCACTAGGAGTTGGCATCCACTTGATGACAGTGAGTTAGAACACGTATGTGCGTGAGTTTCTCTAGGGCACAAACTTGGGAGGAGAGTGGCCGAGACTGCGGAGGCTCAATGTTACTAATGGTTTTCCAAAGGGATTTTACCCGTTGAAATACCCACCAGCAGGGATGGAAACATTTCTCTTGTGTCACATCCTGACTGTCAGACTTCTAAGTTTTCGCCAATGTGGTGGAGGTCCCATGTGGGTTTCGGGATAAGTAGTGGTCCCCTTAGAGCTGGGACAGGTAAGATGGCGTGAGAATGAAGTCTAGCGTTCTTCTCCAGTCAGACACGTGTAGATGCCTCCAGTCCATTTGCCTCTGAGTTTTTGTTTTTGGTTATTAATGTGCACGATTCCTTCGCATATCTTAGAAAATAATCTACTCCCCATTATATGTGTGGTAAATATCTTCCCTCATCGAAGTCACTTACCCTCTTTACAGCACACTCTTATTAACTATAAAAATGCTGATAAACAGGGATTCTGCATTTCAGTGCCATCATATTAGTGATTTATTGTGTCTTATTAAAATTCTTCCCTACCCCGAGGTCACAGAGATACAGCCCTCTGGTGTCTTCTGATGGATCTGTAATGTTGGCTTTGTCACGTATCGAGCCTGTTTTGGGGGGGTTTCCGTTCTGCTGTATTTCATCAAATCTTGCTGTCTCAGTTACTAAAGTTTCACATGAAATCTCTGTACTTCCCAAATGGAACTCACTCTGAAAGCATTTTTAGATTTCAAAGCAACATTAAGCAAAGAGGAAGTAGAACTTACTTTGCTCTGGGTTGATGAACTAGTCCCGGGACTTCTTTATTGGTTTTAAGTCTTACATTTGAACTGGCACTTTTTTCCTGAAACACATAAGCACATACATGTTGAGTGAGAGAGGGGAACATCAGAATCAGCAATGAAGTGATAGCATGCATTTTCTTTTTTTCTGAGACTCAGAACTGGTTTATTGACAATGCCCATACTGTCCTTGTAGAACAGCTCTCAGGATCAACAGAACCCAACCCCAGCCACCCAAGTCCCTGAGGGTGGTGTCTTAGCATGGCTCCCCTCCTGTGGGAGGGCAGAGCAAGGCCCCCCTGCCTGCTCCCATCAGGATAGGGAGATGCCTGAGCATAACACAGCACCACCTTCTCCACAGCCGAGACTGCAGGGGTCACCTTTACTGGGGTGCAGAGATGGTGTGGCCCCTGCCTGTCCTGAGGCCACCCTAGAACAGTCACCCGGGGAAGGACAGTAACCAGACCCAGACACACGCTTTTGCCTACCCCCTTCAGACTGTCCCCACCGCTCCTTGAAATGCAGGCCATGGCAAAGGGGCTGGCAAGGAGGGAATGGGGAGAGGGGAGGGCCAGGGTCCCCCCGTTCTGTTCCCCTGGTCTCTGAGGGGTTGGTTCTGGATAGCATGCATTTTCATCACAGAGTATTCGATGTGTTCGGGACTCTCCACACTGGCCACTTCACAAGGACAAACGTCCTCATAACATCGGAACACAGACAACCTGCCAAACATTTGAATGGAGAGCAGTAAGCCACTCAACGCGGAATTCACTTTATAACAACTAGCATTCTGTTCAGAAAACAATGTGCAGCTAATGTTTAATTTTCTGGTGAAGTGACTGCAAAGAGTGGAGAGTCGAAGACCAGAGAAGCCTGTGTCAGCCTGGGAAAGAACCGAGAGGCTGTGGGAGAATCACGGCCCTTGTTCATCTGCCCAGGTGAATTGACTTCCGGGTGCTTCATTTCTAAAAGACAACTGCGGTTATTGAGACATAGACTTTGCACAAGGCCCTGGCAGTGACAGCAACAAGAAGGCAACTAAAAATAGCTTGCAGGCTCACCCACAACTTTCTCTTAAATACGGAAATTGAATTTCATTTGATGATTAAAATTCAATACGGGCCTGCATTTAAGAAATGCTTGCTTGTTTATCCAACCTGATTCCTTATTCCCAAGTGCTCCGGTCACGTGGGCGAGGAGTAATGGATCTTAAAATAGCAGTGTATCAGTAAACAGACTATTTATAATTCAGCTGCTTTGTATTTTTACATCAGCCTGAAAAAAAAAGCATTCCTCTACAAGCTTTATAATGAGCTTGTAAAAAAAAAAAATCCCTAGAATCAAAGGAAAGATGATCCTAAACCCATTGAACAGGTAACTGTATACAACCTACGGCGTCCGAGGCATGTCAACAGTGAGAGACCTACGTGATGGCGGCGAATGGAGACTGATGTGAGCTGACCCCACGTCCTCGCCACACGCAGTGACTGTGGGCCACACACACTTCTCCTGCGGTCTCTTTCACCTTTCCACTCAGGAACGTTGTCATGAACACTGAAAAGTGCTATGATATCTGTTGTTCCCCTACGACATTGTCTGGGACGAAGAGATGAGCTGTTTTGGGCTTTACCAAGGAGCGGGAGCAATGAGAAAACCGTAATGCCCTCGGATGGAAACTCTAGGGGGAGTTGATGGCCACAGTGTCTGGCGCGGACCTGGCACTTGATGGAAGGGGCTCAGTCAGCGGTGGAATGAATGCACGGCACCAACAAACTCTTGGTCTCTTTTAAGAAATCGCATTGTGAAGCATCTGTAACCTAAAGCGTGTCACTTCAGCTGTTTTTAGGTATATCATTTAATGATGTTCATTGCAACCATCACCCCTATTTCAACAGTTTGTCTGCCACCCCAAGCAGCAATTCAGCATCCACTCAGCAATGACGCCCTCCCTCCCAGCCTCTGGTAACCACGAATCTACTTTGTGGTCAGGCAGATTCCCATACACCTGCTCTAGGTATTTCATATAAGTGGGACCCTGCCTTATTTTTGTGTGTCTAGTTTATTTTACTCAGCAGAATTTTTTCAGGGTTCATTCATGTTGTAGCATGCATCAGAATTTCTTTTTTCCTTGGTGGCTGAAGAATATCCTACCATGTATCTACATACATACATACACTACTTTATTGATGCATTAGTCTTTGCCTATCGTGAATAGTGCTGAAATGGAAAATGGAACACTGGTATCGAGACTTCGATGTAAATTCTATATATCTAGGAGTAGAACAGCTGGTTCACATGGAAATTTTGTTTCCATTTTTGAAGAACTGCCCCATTGCTTTTCCCAGTGGTGGCACTAATTTATACCAAAATATAGAGGAGGGATCTAATGTCTCTATACTTACTATTTTCCTTTTTTTCTGTTAGTAGTGGGTCAAGTAGGTATGGGGTGGTAGCTCATTGTGGGTTTGACTTGTATTTCCCTGGTGGCACTGACAGGGGAGCCCTGGTGGTGTAATGGTTATTTGTTGGGCTGTAACTGCAAGGTTAGCAGTTTGAAACCACTAGCTGATCCTCAGGAGAAAGAAGGGGCTTTCTACTCTCTTAAAGAGTTACCGTTTTGGAAACTCACAGGAGTAGTTCTACTCTGTCCAATGGGATCACTGTGAGTTGGAATCAACTTATTGGCAGTGAGCTTGGATTTTCAGTTCTTTGGTGGCGATGTTGGGTAAACGTTGGGTTGTTACCATGAGGTTGGTGGTTCCAAACCACCAGCCACTCCTTGGGAAAAAGATGAGGGAGTCTGATCCCATAAAGATTTACAGCATGGTAAAATTGTAAATCTCTGTCCTTTAGGGGTGGCATCAATTATAATGTTTTTGTTGTTGTTGTTTTGACTAATGACTAAGTACCTTGAGTATTTTTTCATATGTTTATTGACAATTGTCTATTCAAGTCTTCTGCCAATTTTTGGACTGGCTTGTTGGTCTTCTTGTTGAATGATTAACTTGTTTTTAAAATTAGAAATTTTAAGGTAAGGTCACTGGAGGATGGAAGATATAGGTTTTCTCCAAGTTAGCTGTTAAACTTTGAATTTTGTGCCTGGTTGGCACAAAGCACTGAAACCGGACATATGTGATATGACAGGAGCTTCAATATTTTAGCTTAATGGTATACCATAATTTTAAACACCGTCCAGGCCAGAAAGTGACTTCTAATTATAAGAGTACAAATGACAAGCAATCGTATTTTGCTTATATTCCTTTTATTCAGTATATCCTTCATAATTTATATTGCCTCCATAAATCTTCGGAAAAAGCCATTCTGTGGTTGCTAAGAGAAGAATGAAGCCCAGACAGCGGAGATGCAGTGACAAGCAGGACAGTCCCGCCCAGCAAGGAAGCCCGGACTCATTCCATCATTCACAGGAAGCCAGAGACCCAAAGCCAGGCAGAGGCAAGACAGAAAAGCAGCTGTAGAAAGAGATATTTGATTATGTATATAACTTTGTAAAGATTTCTATTATGCATGTGTAACAAACTTATTCCTTGTTAAAAATTCCCACTCAACAAAATCAATAACACACTTAGTCACTTAGACATGACTCAAGCACTATTCTAAGTGATTATTTTGACAACTCAGTTTTAATGTCCAAAACAATTACATGGGTGAATTCATTTTTATGTCCATAATCTCTTTCTGACACCATTATTGTTATTTCCCATGTTATAGACGAGAAAGCTAAGGTTTAGAGGGGTGACAGGTAGTTGAGCCCATACACATGATCAGAGGCAGTGTTGAGATTTGAACCTGAACAGCGAGGGCTAGAGTCCATGCTAACAGACATAAATGGAATCACACAATACATGTACTTTTGCACCTGCTATTTTTCACTGAGCATAAGGATTTTTGAGGTTCATGCCCATTATAGGGTACATCAGTACTTCATTTCATTTCATTGATTATGAAATGCTATTCCACAGTATGGACATACCCCATTTTGAATATCCATTCATCAGCTGATGGGCATTTTGATGGCTTCCAGTTTGTGGCTATCATGAACAAGGCTGCTATGGACATGTATTTTTCAGGTTCTATCTTAGTACCTTCTAGGCCCAGCCCTAGGCCTGGGACGGCTGAGTTACATGGCATGTGTATATGTAAGAGCGTTCCAAGCTGCGTTCTAAGTGGAAACACCGCCCACCAGCAATGTGCGACAGCATTGCTTCTCCACATCCCTCCACATTTGGTATTAGCTTCTTGACGATCACCATTTCAGTGGCTGTGTAGGGGCATCTCATTGTGGGCTTTATTCATTTTAGATACATTGCTGGAGTGTCTTGTCATGTGATTATGGACCATTGTAGAAATGTCTACTCAATTACTTTGATCATTTAAAAAATATGTTCTTATATTCTTATTTTCTTTGTATCCCCACACCATGAGTGCTCTGTTAGGCATTTTTATACTTCCTGGCTGGCTGCATGTGCCCAAAGAAGTCAGTTTTATTTTCTTTAAAAACATGACTTAATTTCTACATTGGGATTTGGTTGTTGGGGAAGGGAGAGCTAAGAAGATGTGCGAGAGGGAGGAAGAGGTTGTTGGAGACCACGATGACAACAGGTGGTTCAGGACTGAAAACAGGTCAGATGGAGCAGGCCAGCGGAGGGGCGAGAGCCACTCAACACCTGGGTGCTCCAGGAAAGGAAAAGGAGGATTAAGTGGGGAGATGATGGAAGCGGGCGGTAGGATACTCTTTCCTTTAGCAAGCAGGAGCTCTTCTACTGATAGGTGAGACTTGTCAACCAAGTTTGCTACTGAAAATAAACTGGGGCCCGCTGGGCTTAAGTCGAAGCCCTTGAGACACCACTCACTCAGTTTCAAGCTGGCTTCTGTGGTCATGATCCATCCCCGCGGTATCAGAGCCATCTGGGTTAAAATGGCCCTGTAATCAGGGTTCTAAGGTGGGCGGCTGAACAGCTACCCAATGTGGAAATCATACATTTACGTTCCTTACTCTTTTTTAACAGTCTTCTGCACAACAGCATATTTTAGGCAACTGTAG